CGGGCCTTCTAGCATATGTCCTCTGGCAGCAACACGTCCCTTTCCCTCACCCTCAGCCTCTAATCAAAAGCATCTGCATCTCCTGAAGGGCACGTTGAAACACAGTTTCCAGGGCTCAGATGTAGCTCACTGACAGAGCACTTGCCTCGCATGTGCAAGGTCCTGCTTTTGATTCCCAGTATCACAAGATAAATAAATAAACAAATAAAAAACACGGTTTCCTGGGACCCACCCTGATAGATTCTGACTCAGTCCTCTGGGATGGGACTGGAGATTTACATTTCTAACAGCTTCCAGTTTGATGCTGCTGGTCCTGGGGCCAAACTTTGAGAACCACTGGTTCACTTCACTTCATCACTTGGTTGGAACTATGCCTTTCCTCCATCCTCTCTCCATTCCCAGTGCCGCTGACCTGATTCAGACCTTACAGATTCTCAAACGTTGAGAACTTGGAGAGACACTCAACATGTTATTTCAGACAAGAGAATCTCAGGCTTAAAGTCATACCGCTGGAAGGAGGTGGAGCAAGTATCCGACCTCAGACCCTCCAGACCCCACACGGCACTGTACACCAGCTCAACCCCACACCGCAGGTGGGAGAGCTTTGCCTAGAGGACAGGCCCTGCCCAAGGCATGGGGCGAGTTAGTGGAGAGACAGGGATCAGGACCCACTCTCCTACTCCTGACACTTCTCTTCTTCCCATTCCATTCACCTGCTCTAATGGGCACCTACTATGGGCCACGCATGAAGTCATCCCTTCATTCTGTCAGATATGTCTGTTACTACTATGTGACAGTCATTTGTCCTGACTTCATGAGCTTATTCTCAATGTGGAGATAGACATTGATCAAATAATTGCATTCAAAATTAAAACTGAATCATGTTTAGGGTTAAAAAGGCCATATACGTAGAACTCTAAATGGAGAGTTTAATGTACCCCCCATTATGTACTTTTCTAATGTACCAACAAAAAAATGTGGAGAGACTTTACTGTAGACCAGGTGTGGAGAAAGTATTTCCCAGGGGAGTAACAAGTAGGTTGATAGGTAAAGGACAAGTAAGTGTTAACCATGTAAAGGGGGAAAAGAAAGGTGGGAGCAGTACATGCAAAGGCTCTGTGGTAGGAGGAGCCCTAGTGAGTATGAGAGAATGAAAGAAAAGCAGCATGGCTGGAGCAAAAAGGAGGTGTGGCAATGCCAGACCATGCAGAGCCCAACAGGGCACATTGAAAGATTTTGACTTTAAGAACAGGAATGGGATGCCTCGGGGGATTTAAAGTAGGCAGAGGTGGCATAATCAGATTTATTTTTCTGAAAGATTCAGGTGGTTGCCCCATGGAGTTAGGCAAGTGTGGATACAGGCAATTAGCCAGGAGGCTATAGTCAGGAGAGATGGTGACTCTGCCTTACATGACAGTGGTAGACACAGAGAAGCAGACAGAATCAAGAGGTAACAGGGCCATATAGGACTTGGTGATAGGTTGCTTATGGGCAGAGAAAATGGTGTTGTGCTGACCCCTGGATTTCTAGCACACATGTATTCATTAAGGAGAACACTATTTCTTATTTAAAACACTATTTTTGTATCTACAGTTTAGTAGCAATCATTTTCTATGTTATTAAATATTTGTTGAAAAGTGATGAAGTCCCTAGTTATTGTGAGAAAGAACTTCCTAATTTCCCTACTAAGTGCTGAGCATTCTGACCCTCCCATCGCCTGGAGTAAGGGACATGCCCAGGGGGCCGTGCTCCTGCCATGTCCACCTCAACACCCAACTCACCATGGGGGATTGACAGACGGTGTGGGTGAGACATCATTTGAGAGAGATGTCTGGGTTCAAATCGCCCTTTAAGTTTCCAAATGAATGTGGATATCCAAAAAGTAAGACTATATGATTATTCTCAGTTCACAAGCTTCTAGTCAATAGTTATGTGAGATATTAAGCTTGCTCCCTTGGAATCAGAGTATGTCTGTCAACTTCAGGGGAAGAAAGCAGGGCCAGGACGAAATCTCAGATCTATGGGAACTAGACAGAACAACCCACCGAAGGGATCCAAACTGGATATTTTATTAAATTGCAAAAGTCTCCTAAAACAGAAAAAGTAATCATGCATTCCAAATATGTTCATTAGAAGTTACTGCATGAGGCATCTCTAGCTTTCCCAAATGAAAATATCTGGCCACTTGGCCACTGTGAACTTAGATTTATCTTACCCAATTCCTCTGAGTTCTTAAACCCTACTGGAAAGTTCAAATGTGTCCTGCTATTTATTGATAACCTTTTCCTCAAGGTTATCGATTTCAACTAAGCACCTTTCTTCAACAGCTCACAACTTGGGGTCTCCAGGCATAATTCCCTATTAGGAAAACCTAGATTCACTCCCATGCCTCCTTCTCAGACAGGAGACATTTCTTAGGTAACCCCCGCCTCATTTTCTGATAAGCAACTTCCTCAGCGAGCCCCTGGCGGCTGTGTCTCCCATCTCCTGGCTGAGACGCCAGTCTGATATGTCATCTGTGTTTTGCTTCAGCCTGAATTCTGGGAAACATTGCAGTCTCCTTTCCTGAGCATTTGCTTTGAAGATAAAGAGAGGATGTTCATCTCCTGCAAGAACCTCCCAGGGCGTTCCTCTCCGTCTTCTCTCTGCCTTGGGAAATTCCATCAGACAAATACGGGCTGGACCAATAGCACGTCAGGTGACTGGACTCACACAAGGGGGAGCGCAAGGAAAAGCTGCGCAGATCTTTTTCCTTTGACACCTCATCAGTGACTGCGGAAGGTGACTTGCAGATTTAAACCCATGCTCGCGAATACGCAGATGCAGTAGCTGCAGAGGGGCCTGGAGGCCTGGGTTCTACATATGGCATTGCCACCGACCAGCTCTGTAAACTTAGACAAGTTTCTTTGCTTCTCTGACCTCTGAGTGTTTTGTTGTTGTTGTTGTTGTTGTTTGGGGGGTGGTGCAGTGGAGATAGAAGGGATTGAACTCAGGGATACTCGACCACTGAGCCACATCCCTAGCTCTATTTTGTATTTTATTTAGAGACAGGGTCTCGCTGAGTTGCTTAGTGCCTGCTTTTTGCTGAGGCTGGCTTTGAACTCGCGGTCCTCCTGCCTCAGCCTCCTGAGCTGCTGGGATTACAGGCGCACGCCACCGCATTTGGCTCATTAAATCTCTGAGTCTTTCACTGGAAAATAAGATGGTTGGATTGAAGTGGTGGTTACCAATGTTTTCAATTTTTAAAAATTATATCCTCCACTGCTTTGTGCCCTAGGTTCGAAAGAATTTTGACTTTTAAACACACTGAACTTATTAAGCAGCAGTGCTTTATTTTACTTCCCTTCTTTATTGATCAAAGCACACACCAGAGTCTCTGATCAACACGGCTGGTTGATATTATTCTAGCCAAATAAAACCTCATTGTGGGGACACGTGATTTTTTTCACAGGATGTTTGAAATTTTTAAAATAGGTTACAAATCCGTACTGCAATATTCATGGAGGCCCTAAAAAATCTAAGGATCCCAAATGGAGGAAGAAATGGGCTAAAATCTCTTTAGACAATTCTTTTGTGTCCAGTGTTCTGGCTAAGATAGTAGGACCCCCAAGCCCCCTATACTAGAGGAAGAAGTGTTACAGCGCTGATTACGACAGCCCATACTCAGGCTGTGAAATCCTGGGCCTCTGTCTCTCTTCTTCACTGAAGGAGAGCCATTATGTGTCTCTGGATGACATCTGTCCATGCCTCCCCTCCATTTAATCTTGCCAGTAGCAGTGTTCAGTGAGGAGCTTAGATCTCCCCATCAACCTCTTCCCAAAATGATGAATAACAAACAACTCATTGATCTTTCTGATGGTTCCATTTACCAACTTCCCTAATACGTATGGATTATTCCAGACTTCAAAGGCACACAATTGGAATTCGTTTCCTATCCTGACTTCATTCATTTTTTTAATATCCTGATAGAGTGCCTACTATTTCCCAGGCATATAGCAGGTACATAGCACATGCTTACTGAATGGGGGAATTAACTTACCGACACACGTATGAATGAACTCTATTAGACGTTTCCACATATTTATCATGTCATTTTACTCTCTCAACCACCCCAGAAGGTAAGGAACATTTTTCTCATTTTATAATTGAGGAAATTGAGTTTCTAATAGGTGCTGTGACTAGTTCAGGGTCATCCAGCTGGTAAATGGTTAAGACAACTTGAACCCAAGTCTTTTGTTTCCACATCCCTGGGTGGGTGCCCTGTAGGACAGCCCCTCATGGATTCCTATGTCCCTTCCTTCAACCTTCATGAATGCACTGACCCATCCTCCTACTGTAGGAAACTAGATCATGCCCCCTCTCCTAGAACCTTCTTTAGCTCCCTCTAGTCCTCTCCTCACTGCCATCTGAATGCTTCCTTTATTATGAAAAGTATTCATCCTAAAAGTCCACTTTGTCACCAGTTATCAGGGCCATGTTGAGCAGGTCCATCCCCAAGTGAGGTCCCCATTAGCTAAGCAGGGGAATCTGTGCGATGGCCCTGACAGTTTTGATGTGTCTCACCCTTTCTTCTCCTCCCTCCCGTTCTCAAGGTCACACCATCCTTGGCTCAGCTTTCCCTCAGCCAGGGGGACCAGAGAACTCACTTTCTTTCCCATGTCACCTCTGGAATCCCAGCCCTCAGAGTCTTCCTGAGCCTGGTGGCCCAAAGAGGCCCTGCTGAGCCTCTTGACTCTGGCCCCAAGCTTAAATATCCCTGGACTTGGAACCACAAACTCCCGGGGAGATACAGAGAGTCAGGGTAACAAAGCCTGCTGCTCCTGGTCTGCCTGCATCACCACATCTCAGCACTCCTGCCAATTTGGGGACCTCAAATGATGTTTTCTTCCCCCCCACCCCAAACATGGGAATGACCTTTAGGCACAATGGGTTGGTTCAATGCCTCTATGATTACCCCTACCTGTGCCCCTTTCACAAAAGAAGAAACTCAGTTCATAAAGCCCTGGATAAAAGGTTATAATAGAGAATTCAAAGGATGGCAATAACAAATGCTTTCCTGGTGATCACTGATGGAGGTGTTTGAAAGCTTGCCTTCCTCTGTCTCAGGACAGACTGGCAAAGAACCTGCAGGACAATGCCTCTCCGTATTCTTCATACTACTGATGAGGAGGCCTGTAGTTTTCCTGCCCCTATTGACTGGCACACTAGCTCCACCGGTCAACAAATAAGGTGTCCTTGGTGGCACTGTGGTTCTACCCCTGTAGCTGACTCTCTGAGACCAGGCCCATGGCGGTATTCCTAGAGAGAAACAGGAAGAGAAAACCCATTAGCTAAGCATACCCCGTGTGTATATGCATACACAAGCACAACGCCATCCTGCCCCTTTGATTAAATTAATTTTATACCCATCATGCATTTTTTAATGAAGGGAAACAATATCCCTGGGCTGGTGTTTAGGGACTTCTTCCCTCCTTAGCTGGTTTGCTAAGTCCAGGATCCAGAACTAGAAGAAATGGAACCAGGATCCTGGCTTTGATCTTGATTTAGTGTTCAACCTGGAGCCAGTCTTCCCAGGGACTGTTTTCTGAGACATAAAATGGAAAAGTAGTGCACACAGTGTTGTGGATACGAAAAGAACAAAGCCTGTGGAAATATATGTATAAAATATAAATTTTATTTTTGTGGATATAAATAAAGCCTGTGCTACTCAAACCAGAGTCATTAATACCCGATTTTTCACTCCAGGGACCTTCTGGGAAGCTCACATGCTTTGAGGTAGGGGGATCTCCCTCTTTCAATGCTGTCAGCACAAACAAGTAGGTCTTGTTACAGTTCTAACCAGCGAGAGTGGTGCAGGATCTGTCCCAATCCATGCGACTCCATGACTCCCCAGTGCATGCACTGCCTTTTAAAGAGGTAAGCTGTCCATCACTGCAAATATTTAAGCATGAAATAGACAACCACCCAGCAGAAGAGCAATGGGAGAAATCTAAGCATCAAGGAGATGTTACAAATGATGACTGCAAACTTCTCCAGTTTTAGATTTATTCATTCCACCAAAAGTGCTGGTTCTAGGAATTTGTGCAAGGTGCTGGAAAGAGGCTTTGGAAATAGAGGGTCAGAGAACTTGGGCTTGAGGAATTGAAACTTTGGTACAGGGAGACAGCACATGCCTATGACTGCACAAACTCTGAGACCAAGAAGCTCTACAAGGAAAGAGGGGAAGGTAGTGCAGAGGAGAGGAAGTCACTTCTGTTGAGAGTATCAGCAGTATCAACCCCCCAACTACAGGAGGAAACATAGAGAAATAAAGCTCCCTCCAAAGGGCAAGCTTTTGAATCTGCCTAGGGGTCACCGTGGGTTTATGCCATTCAAACAGAGGACACTGCACGTCTCTTTTAGGGCACCTGGATTCATGCTAAAGGAGTGGGAGAGACAGAACCCTGTGTGACATACAACAGAGAGAGCCTAGGTAGGTGACCTGGTAACACATTGCAGGGTCACCTGTATCTCCCCCCACACACACTGCTCCCCGACAAACTGCTGCTTCTCATCTTTCCAAAGGGTAGTAGGTCTGTCCACACAACTTGTTCACTGGGAAAGTTAGGGCCACTTTCTCATGTCTGATGCCTAAAGTCTACGTGAAAACTTTGATCATCCAAATGGTGACCCCGACTGACCACTGCAAGCAGCCAAACTGACCCTCTTCTTACCAAACCAACCATCACTCTCCCTCCTGCCTACCATCTCACATCTAGAATGATCCGAACCTTCCCTCCTCCCTCACCTCTGCAGGTCAGGAGCCCACCCATCCTTCTCTGCACAATTTCAATGCCACCACCTCGGAACTCTTCCCTGACTGCATGTCTCCTCCAGGTCTTACCTACTAAACTTTGTGATTATTTTGGCAAGAACAGAAAGCATTCCTGAGACTGCACAGGGCCTACATGGGGTCCTTATTAGGAGAGGGATCTCTCAGGCACAAATGGATCGCTCAGGTTTCTGGAGGTTTCCAGACAAAGGAAACAGTGAAGTCTCTTCAGTGCTGTTTGACTCCCCGTGTCTGGGATGGCCAGATGTTTCAGGACACAGGTGCATGAGTTGGACCCTTTTCCCAGGACCTTGTCCTGTTTCAAGCTGTGTTGGGACATCTCATGAAATCAGAACTGAAGTTTCTCCCTGATTATAATTTTCTAAATGTCACTTATAAAGATGAGTCTTCTGTCTACATCACCCCGCCCCCCATCTTCCAGACCTCTCCTGTAGTTGGGGGCTAATACTCTCAACAGAAGTGACTTTCTCTCTCCTGAACTAGCTTCCCCTCTCCTTTCTTTGCAGGGTTTCTTCTTGGTCTCAGAGATTGTGCAGTCATAGGCATGTGCTGTCTCCCTGTACCAAAGTTTCAATTCCTCAAACCCAAGTTCTCTGTCCCTCTATTCCCAAAGTCTCTCTCTCTAGCACCCTGCACAATTCCCAGTACCAGCACAAGTTTGGTGGAATGAGTAAATAGACAAACATACTTTCTCTTCCAAACACAAAAATCACCAGCAAAATGACCTGGTGAATTCATTCTTCTCTTCCTGAGTGTCAATCTGGTAAAGGCTGTCACATCTGGGGCCCAGACAGAGATCTGAAGGATACCAGCAAGTAGAGATGAGTGGAAATGGAAAGCACAGGAGGGAAAGTCAATTAGTAACATGAAATCACACAATACATGGATTGGTGATTAAGCACCAATAAATCACCAAGCCCAGACATATTTTTAAAAGTAGCTAGAGTTATTGGCCATGTCTAATAAAAATCATGGTAATTATGAGCTGATTTAATTTTTTAAAATTTTTATCCTTATTTATAAATGGGGTATTCAAGCCAATATCCAACCTCAAAGGGAGGAGCTTAGAGTGGAGGGGTGATCCTGTTGAAAACATCCCAGGCTGGGAAACAGGAGAAGTGGCCTTGACCCCAAGCTCTGCAACCTATGGGGTATGTAGGGTCAGTAGGATACCTCTTCCACCCGCTCCAGCCTCCTACAAATCCAGTAGGAAGGTGCTCACTCAGATTCCAGAAGTTCTCTCAATTTGCCTTCAAAACTGCCTTGGCCATTTCCAAGTGACAGCTAAGTTTAGGTTTTCTGAGTCTACTTACATAGTAACATGTCATTGGCCAAAGCTAGGTATGCTGGTTACCACTGTGAAATGGGAGCTCTGAGAAACAGGGGGCTCACAGCAGCCCATGATCCAGAGTCTGTTGTTCAATTTCAGATGTTGCAGTTACTAGGATTCATAAAGCAGGGGAGTCAAGGTCAATGGTCATAGCTTGGAGATCCTTACTCTGCCACTTTCTTATACAGCCTTGGCATTCCCACAGGTAAACTGAGGCAATACATTTAGTCTGGAGTCCTGTGATTGTGTATTAGCTAAACTGGCCACCAAAAAAAAAAAAAAGCCCGTTGGCTGTCTCCCCAGAACCCAGAGAAGAGGGGGAGCCATCTGCAGGGGCGGGGGGAGGGGGGGGGCGGTGCGCAAGAAAATCAGCAATGCCCTGTTCCCACCCCCTGCCACCCACTGACCAATACAAATACAGAACTCATCCGTGGAAGTGAGCCATTAGATGTTCCCAGCGGTAGCCTGTAAATTCCTAACTTCCCTCTTCGGGAGGTAGAAAGGAAAAGAACCATTGTTGAATATTTCTGTTTTTCTCTCTGTGGGTGCATGTGTACTAAGAGAGAGAGGTTGTGTGTGGAAGCACGTCCCCCACCCCCCACCCTGTGTCTTACACAACTAGCTATTTACACACCAGATGATCCCTGCAGGAAAAGGCAAGTCCCCAGCTGCTGTGGAATTTTAAGAGATCTCCCTGGAATGCCCTTATGGGATGTCTGGTTCTAATTGCCTCCCGTCAGCCAGAGCTGGCGAGCTGGTGGGAGCAATGAGAGGTGAAATTGAACAGATTCCAGTTCACATCAGACCCCCAGCCCTGCCAGAGTCCCCCAGGGGCCGGAAAAGAAAACAAATGTGGCCAGGGCGGTGGGTGTGGTGGAAAGAGAACTACACTGAAATCCAAGGGCGCAGATTCTCCTCGTGCACTGCCGCTGACGCCCTGTGTTGCTCTGGACCCCTCACTTTCAAAGTAGTGAGGATCGGCTGGTCTCCAAGGCCCCTTCCTAGTCTAATATCCAGGGACAGAAAGGTCCAGCTCTCATTATGTGATGGGAGAGTAAAGACTGGGACATTGTCTTCTGAATTTTCAAACCAGATGCTCTGCATTTTAGATCTTTAAGCAGAATGGGGAAGGGCGAGGATTTCATACCAACCCACTTTAAACTAACCCTAGTCCCAGCCCCAGCCCCGGGCACAGTCCCTTCCTCTGCCCTTGGCCAGGAGCGGCTGGAGGTCTGAGCACCGACCTCCACGGAGAGGAAACAAGATCCGGTAGTTCCTTAGTGCCCTCTATGGGTCCAAAGGGCAGTCACGCTGCAATGGAAGCTGTCTCCACCCCAAGGGCTCTGGAACACCCTCTGCTGCAGCACCTCTGATTTTAGAGGCAATCGGCTCAAATTGACCCCTGATTCATGGTGAATGTCTGTCGCCTTTAAGTCTGTTGTTTTAAGACTCAGACTAAAACCAGTTAACGAATTGGATCAGGCGAGCCCTCCCAGGACCGCAGCACAGTGGCTCCCTGCCTCCACTGTGGGGACAGCGGCACACCTGCCATTGCTTCTCCCAGGATCCACGGGTGGAATGGCAAAGGGGAGGTGTTGGGGGTTAACAGCTCACAGAGCGCGCGTGGCATGCGCACAAAACAGCACAGGTTTCCAATGCCAAATACCGAAGGCTTCTAATTTACAATCCCAGCCTCCTCTTAGTAGCCCTCCCCCAACCAGCTCCCTCCTCCGCCCCCGCACAGCTGTGGTGCATGCATGTCTCCAGAGACCCCCAAGCTCATTTCTTTCCCAGTCAGCTTGTATCAGTTAGGAAATCTGTTTGGCTAGTCGAAACAGAGTCCTAATCACAACGACTTCGCCAAATTGGGGGTTTATTTGCTCATCTAAGAAGACATCTGCAGATAGGCTGCAGTCCACAAAATCATCAATCAGCCCTAGAGCTTGACTTTCCCATTGGTCCCTATCACCTCGTGGGCCAAGATAGCCTCTTAAGTCCTAGCTGTCCCAGAATCCTCCAGAGAGGAAGATTTGGAAGGGCAAGGGTGGATGTGATGCCCTACCTACTACTTCAGCCCCCTTTAAGACCACTGATAATTTGTGCCAGCCAGCTGCAAGGATGCCTGGGAATGTAGTCTCCTTATCACTCTCAATAAGATCAGCATGTATCATTAAGGAAGAAAGGGGCAATGGATATTGAGTCAACAACAAATAGATGCTGCCACACCACCCACTTTTCTTGAGAGAAGTAATGAATGGGTGGTCATCTCCTTTGGCCACTAGGTTTCCCCCACAGGAAGGCAAGGAGCTGTCGTGTCTGCTCACCTGATCCAGGAGAACTCCTCACCTCCCCACACAGGCCCAGACACCTGCCAAGTTGGTGGGGAGAGATGGTATCTGCCAGATCACTCTCTCCTGAAGATGATGCCAGGCCAGCTTCTCTGAGCCAGCCTCTCTGGTACTTTCCCTAGAGAGAAGTATGCCAGCTCACCCATGGAGGACCCAAGTCCAACTCCAAACACGCCCATCTAGAGCTTGCTGCCAGGTCTGGGACCAGAGAACAGCTCCTTCCCGGCAGGCTCCAGTAGGTTTTTTTTCTAGTCCCCTGCCACATAGGGCAGGGGGGGTCCCCAGGCCACATTTGGGTGCACTCCCCACTCCGGGCAAAGAATTCATTGCTTTCTCGTCATTTGTTCTGCTGGGAGCTAAAGCACCCATCAGCTCAAAGAGTAAAGCCTTAAATGTATAAATTTGATATTTAAAATCATAGACATGAAATGCATACCAAACTGACTTGGCCCTGTGGGGTTGGCCAGTAACTTCCTGATGAGCTGGCTTCTGGTTTTCCTGGGTCTTTGAGTTTAGAGAGGAGGCCTGTGCATTGATCTTCAGGCTCTGCACCATTTGGTGACTGTGGGTTTCTTGAAGAGAAAGATTAATATTATATTAATATTTTAATATATCTTTTGTGCTGTTTAATGCTGTTTCTTGAAGAGAAAGAAACCCAAAGACCTTTCTTGATTTTATTTTTCTTTTGTGATACTGAAGATTGAGCCCAGGGGTACTCTATCACTGAACCTCACCCCCAGCACATTTTTTTTTTGAAAAGGGTCTCACTAAGTTGCCCAGGCTGGCCTCAACCTTGTGATCCTGCTGCCTCAGCCTCCCAAGTCATTGGGATTACAGGCATGTGCCACTATGCCTAACTCTTCCCTGATGTTTTATCCCTTCTTCTTGGAGTAGAAATGGTTATAAGGCCACTTTCCTGTGAAGGAAACTGAGGAAGGTTGTCAGTGGTGGTTGTTCCTTACACTGGATGGAGGTGTACAGGATATAGAAGGGCCCAGGTGAAGAGAGGAGAAAGCTTTGGGTAGCACTGTGAGCTCCATGAGGGGAATCATTCTCTAACCCTTCTAGATACACTCAGCTCAGTGCTATGTGTCTGTCTCAATGAGACTTTTTCTGTTTTTTTTTTTTATTTCAATGGCCACCTACATAATTCAATAAATGCACCAATTGTTCATTACACTAAACCACATTCTCATTATAGAGCATCATTTAAAGCAGGCTCCAGTTTCTGCGACTCTTGAAATGGTCTAAAAATACCTACCCCTCCTTCCCGTCACTTTCTTCCATTCAGTTCTCTCAGGAGACTGAATGTGTTTGAAGAGAGAGACCCTTAACCATAGAATCAGGGTAGGATTTCCCTTTACGGTGGAGTTTCCAGGAATGGAACATGCTTAAAAGCAGAGACCACTTCTTTGAGAATATGAGGAAGAGAAATAATAAGCTTCAATTTGTTAAGAACCATTTATCATGAATGCTCTAAAACTATGTCTGTTTTAGATCTTTTCTCTAGTATAATCTGGTGATTGCACATACATCATGGACCTTCCCTAGACTCCAGGGCTCAGGCAGACAGCCCCCCAGAGGCCAGCTTCCCCATTTCTCATAATATACTTAGGCAAAGACAGAGTGTCATTTCTAGCACTTTACAAGTTGGTATTTTTTTAATATATTTTTTGTGCTGTTTAATGCTGGGTATTTAATACCGTGGAGCACTTAAGAACCTAAGAGCAAGTTGAATTATCACTGCTTTGCAGCCAGGGAAGCTGAAAGAAAGGTTAAAAAAGTGATTTGGTGCAGATTCCATCTTCCATTCAAGGTGGAGGGAGGCCTTTGAGTCCCACTACTGTGTCATGTGCGGCTCCTTCGGAGCACCTCTATGGATATTGAAATGACGATTAAACTCAACTGTGCCCTTTTTTTTTCCCAAAGCACAAAATCAAAGAAGCTGAGATGGAGCTGCAACTTAGTTTGAATAAATCATTTCCATCTCTGGATGATTCCTTTCCTTTGTACAGTGGGGGTTACATCCCCACAAGAGCAGTACAGTCTTAAATTCCTGGAAAATGTACGTGGGAAATGTAAACAAAAACGTATCCACAGTCATGTCTTAATATCTACATGGAGTTTATTTGTTTCATAAGCATGGGCTGAAAGCTTCATTGTTTTGTGCTGGGTGCAGCGGGTAGGGTTCAGGTTTGGACCACTGACATTATGGCACATAGAGGGTAAATTTTAACCTGGGTCATGAACTTGAAGATATATGCTAACAATAATAACCAAAAAAGGTATTTGAGGGGGCTGAACCGTGGACACAGAAGTCTGTCATTTGTATAAAAACAGAGACTGGGGATACACATATACATCTTGTATTCTCAGTGATCAAAAATGAATACGTGAACCAGAAGTGGGTAACTCTGGTAAGTAGGAGAGGAGGGACCAGTGGAAGGAGCAAGGAATTGAGAAGAGAATTTCAACTTTATATCTTTGGTACCTTTAAAACTTTAAGCCATGAGAATGTAGAAGGTATTACCCACTCACAAAAGAATAAATAAAATTTAATTAAAAGCATGATGCATCCTATTCCAAGCATCAGGGTCAGTGGTTGCCTGGGAACAGGAGAGCCGTCGATGCAGAGAGCACTCTTAAAACGTGTCTCAGGGCTTGACCGACAGTCCTGATATCCTTCTGGCTCAGTCTGTGCTGCTCCTGATACCCAGACCCCTCCCAAGAGTCCAGGGATCAAGGGGTCACAACACATGTTATTTCTTCAAGCAAAAGATGAAGTACACAGTTGCTGGCTGGTACATCATGTTTTTCAAGCAAAATAACAAGGACGCTCAGATCCCTGTCTTGGACCTCACTATGCAGACCTTCAGGTCACCCCGAGGGCATCCCAGAAGCTGGGCAGGATGGACTGCTAGGAAGACATCAGTGTGTACCCTGGAGACCAGAGGGCTTGAGGAGCAGAACCTGGGTTTGACTGTCCGAGGGGAATCAAAAGACAGGCTAGACCCGAGCCCAGGTGGGCTGTGTGTCCTGGGCAAGCTAAGCACTTCTCTGAGCCTCCTTTTCTCACCTGCAACAGAGGAACTGTGACATCTACTGCAACAATATCTCTGGGGTTTAAATGTATGCGAGATATTCAGTCCTTAATAAGTATTCTGCAGAGGTTTCCAAGTTTCATCCCTACTACACATATTTCCTGTAAAAGCAAGTAAATATGTTCAAGGTGGCCCTCATGGGTAGAAACTCCAGAAAAATAGACTTGGGCTTCAGTGAGTAAAGACTTTCCTGCAGACAGAACTGTCCAAGGACAGAGCCATTCTCCTCCTTGATGGACATTGTTGAGATAACTATTTTACAGGAAGAACTGACAGTTCTGCCGTTGGGGTTTCTAAGTTCATTGCAGAAGAGGCAGGATCAAAGCACCAGGGTCTGTCCTGTCATCCCGCCTGGTCTTCCACCCACTGTCCCCTCTCTCCGTCCCTCCTCCAGCCAGCCTGTGCGGCTCCCAGAAAGCCTCAATTAAGAAGGCATTTCCAGACCTCTCTGCGGCTGGCACCACCACATTTTTTGCATTCCCTGTCTCCACTGCTCCTGGAGTCATGAGTCTGTCTACGTGAGTCTCTTATCTACCTCAAGAGAAAAGGACGAGTCTTGTGATACCCACCTAAGAGGGATTTTCGCCTTTGACCTCACAATTTCAGCTGGTGGAATTTTCCCCTGGGGTCTCATGGTGACCACAAAGGTGACTCCTGAAGTGATATTCTTTATCGTGCTTTGGCTCTCCAGGGCTCTGAGCAGGTGCTGTTCGGGGTCCATGAGAATTTCAGAACCCCCAATTAGGGTCTGGTCCCTGCAATGGAAGCAACCGTGGTGGAGTGGGGGTGGCCCACGCTTATGCTAGTATCTCTCACACTGGGTGAACTGTGATAGATGCCAGAGGGAGCCAAGTTCCCTGAGGCCCCAGGTGATAGTAAAGAGTGATTGTAAATGTGTGATATGATAATGGCAGGTGATTATGTTAAAGAGAAAGCAGACCTTATCAGGTAGAGATGCGTGCTGATGTCTAGGTGGTTTTAATATACTCTACGGGGACAAAAAAAAGTCCTCCTAAGTGTTTTTGCAGTGAGGTGATATAATGTCTGGGATTTGCCATAAAATATTCCAGAAAAAAAAAGCTGAGGAATACATGAAAAATCTGGCAAAAAACTGATTGTTAGTATAGTTATTGAAGCTGGTGATAGATAAGAAAGGAGTTTGTTATATGGTGTTCTCTACTTTTGTGTTTGGAAAATTCCAGAATAAAAAACTTAAAAAAAAAAAAAAAGGAAAATTAGTGATGAATTCTGACAGGAGGCATGCAGGTCAGGGATGGCATCCCACAGCAGGTGAGACTGACTGGACGATGGGTTTCGAGAGACAGTGGGAAGGATAGTCAGGATTTGAAAGCTCTTGTTGGCTTTATGTCAGAGAATCCTTTTGGTCTCCCAGTTTTTCATACCAGTGAAAGCATTTCCCCCTCCAGGGTGGGACCCACACTTGCTCCAGACACCCCTAAGGGTATGGCCTTGCAGTGAGGACTTCTCTGGCTGCCAGAGCTGGATCTGTCCTGGCCCTGACCAGATCTGCCCCTGGAGGCTCTGCCCCCCTTCCTTCATCCTCTCTCCCCTCCAGTCCTCCGTCTGGGGAAGATTATCCAAGCTCCAAGTAGTAAATTTAAGGCTTTGGCAGCCCTCCCACAGATGACTCCCAAATTATCCCATTCCAAGGGTGGGAGTGGGGGAGGCCAGAAGTTCAGGCCTGAGGCATGGGCGGTCGTCTGAGAGCTCCGGGTGCCATCTGCTGGTGGAGACTAGTAGCCACCTTGAAAAGGGATGCTGGGGATGTACAGAAACTTACCAGTGACAAGGACAAGGCCCACTTCAGATCCATGATAGTCAAGGAAATTCACTGCTTGGCAGACACCAAGAGCATGTGTGTATGTGTGTGTATTCATAAAAGGTGACTGACTCCATGCTGGGCTCTGTAGGAGGGTATGTTAGGATGGTGTGCATGCTTCTGCCATTGTCCCTTAAGGTCT